TTTTATAATATACATATGGAAAATAACAAACATAACAAAATCATTCTTATCTCTTAGTTTTATGTATATAATAATTAATAAAGAAATATTTATTGGATGGACAAACTAATAAATATTATATATTTTCATTAAAACCAACTTCAACATCTTTAATTAATTATGATAACTATCGAAAAATCCGCATATCCGTTGTGATTGAAAGTGAAGAAAGAAGAATATTTTTTCTGAAGATGAAACAAAAGATTAATGAAGAAAGAAAAATTTAAGAAAAAAAAATAGATTGGTTTTGTTTATTTATTTTTACAATTACTTTCTGTCAAGGTAAAATGAACATAAATTAATCGAAAGAAAAATTGATCAAAATAGAAAGAGAATCTTAACACTCGTATTCATAACACAGTACATATAAATTCACGTGTCGTACATGCTAATGAATATCTAGATACTTCTGATTGCCAATAGAAGAATTGTCACATCAATTTGTTGGAAGTGGTTGAAAATTGTTGGCAACCGTTTTAATATAGATTGAGACTTGCGCTAACGAATTCGTAAAATTATTGTCGTGGATTGTCGAGAGAAGGGAGAGACTGTGTTTGGGGAGAAGGTGAAAGTGAAAATCGTTCACGAACATAACCTAAGAATAAGCTGTATGTGCAGCTATCACAGATTTTATGGAATTTATGGAGATGCGATATCGTTTTTGAAAAATTCTTTGACATGATCTTTTCAATGTGTTGTCTTCTTGATGAATAACCTATTAAAAACGAAGGTAAGAACGAGAAAATATGGAGGCTTGCAACGAAGTAGGCGACCGGACTCCAACTGACATCGCGGTAATGCAAAGAAGTTGGTCAGAATTGAGAGGTGTTGTCAGTGATCTACGTAGAAAATTGTCCGGAGTATCAGTAGGCTCTGTTCCTGGATCTATAACATTTCGATCTTTACCAGATGGACGGTAAGAAATGCTTTTAAAATAGTAACATAACCTTTACAATTAAAATCTATTTTTTTATAATTTTTTCTTTTTTTAGGACTAGAATATATTTTCTTAGTAGTCCAAGTAATGGATGGGAAACTACTTTACTATTTGTGGATATTGCACATTCAGATCATGCAAATGGTTATCGTCTTCATTGGCAACCAATTATAGAAGCAAATTTTCAAACGTAATACAACTTTTTCCAGAAGAAAATAAACCATTTATTTTTTAAAGATAATAGGATAACAATGCAAAGATTTATTTGTAGTGTATCAAGTACGAAAAGATTATCGAGAGAAGAACAGTTATTATGGGAAAGAAAAAGATTAGCCACATGGGGTATTACTAGTTATGAGATTCATCTAGATAGTGGAAAATTGGTTTTTCCAGCTGCAAGCAGTCTTTATCAGTGTATAGATACAGGATTTATGGTATTTTTCGTTTTTATTATTATTATTCTTTTTATATATAATTAAGATATTGAAATAATAATAATAATAAATATAATAATAATAATAATATAATAATAAATATTGAATAATAATAAATATATTTGTATATTAGGCTGGACCTCTATTTCCATCTGAAATTCGTATGTCAACATCAGGTGCTAAATTATGTCCACAAATTTGCCCATGGAATAATGCATTAATTGCTCATACATGTTCGGGTGATTTGTATTTGTCTCATAGTATCACAGGTTCTTCTGTAAGATTAACACATGCAAGAAAAGGTGGTAAGAGTTTAGTAAATGACCCTCTTACTGCAGGAACTCCTTCTTATGTAATGCAAGAAGAATTTACTAGGTATATTTGTAATATAATAATAACATATATATTTACATATATAGTTCTTATAATATAATATTTTTATTCAGATATATTGGATATTGGTGGCAACCAAAATCTAATGATGGCATATATAGAATAGTGTATGAAGAGATTGATGAGAGTGATGTGAAGATATTTTGTTTTCCATCAACATCAAATTCTGAAGATATAGATGAATTTAGGTTTCCAAGAGCTGGTACTCCTAATGCAAAAAGTAATCTTAAGATGGTGCAATTTCGTTTAACAGAAACATTACAAATTGTTGACATCGAAATATTAGAACTTCAATATCCATTGCATATTATGTTTCCATGGATGGAATACATGGTAAGAGTGGGATGGACTCCTGATGCACAATAGTAAGTCAGAAATGTTCTGAATTAGCTGTGCATGTTTCAATGTTTACTTCTATAATATAGTTTTATACGAATATAGCATTTGGGTCCAGTTGTTGGATAGAAAGCAACAAAGACTTGAGTTAGTTTTATTATCGATAGATAATTTTTGTGAACCACCGCCTAATGTATACAATTCAGAAAATCATTTCACACCGTCATCGGCGAGTGTTCAAGTAATATATTCTGAACAAAGTTCAATTTGGATCAATGTTAATGATCTCCTTTATTTTTTACCGTCCGACGATCCAACAGAAGTTAAATTTCTTTGGGGCAGTGAAGAATCTGATTTTAGACATTTATATCTCATTACATCTAGCATAGCTGGTAAAATAACAAATAATGATTTTTAATTATAATATATTAACAAAGTTAAATAGTAATTTAAATATTAATTTTTATTTTTCTATTCTTTTCCATAGGTTTAAATAACGAAGTAGAAGAACCATTGGATAAAATGGATAGTATTTTTTTGCAACCTCGAGTTACTTCTAAAATCGCTTTGACTCAAGGAGATTGGGAAGTCTTGGGTAAAAAACTGTGGGTAGATGAACTTAATTCTATTGTTTATTTTTGTGGTTTACGTGAGGGTCCACTAGAACAACATGTTTATGCTGTGTCACTTCGTCGCCCGCTAGAAATAAGATTACTCACAAGACCAGGTTACAGTCACAATAGTATATATTTTAATAAGGAATGTACAATGCTAGTGACTGTTTATAGTTCCATCAAAACATTACCAACATGTCAAGTACGATTTTTTTATAAGAATAAATATTAAAAAATTTTTATGGTAATTAATATTTTTTTTTAGGTTTTTAAAATATCACAATCAGATTGGACAGTGGAAAGTATTTCTTTAACTCCTGTAGGTTATTTATTAGAACCATCTCCTCTTGAATCCGAATTATTTGCTCCGGAAATTTATACTTATAAAATATCATCTAATGAGACTCTTTATTCAATGATTTTTAAACCACACAATTTTCAAGTTGGGATAAAATATCCTACGATATTGAATGTGTATGGTGGTCCTGAAGTACAATTAGTATCAAATACATTTAAAGTAAATATTTTGAGAAAAATAAATATAGGAAATATAAAATTTTGATTGCTTATCATAATTTAAATTTATTATATATTTCAGGGAATGAGACATTTAAGAATGCATATGTTAGCTGCTCAAGGTTATTGTGTAGTATTAATCGATTCTCGGGGTTCACATCATAGAGGTTTAGTATTTGAAAGTCATTTACAACACCGAATGGGAACTGTTGAATTAGATGATCAAGTTCAAGTGTTAAAATGGTTAGCAGAAACTACTGGTTATATTGATTTAAGTCGCGTAGCTATTCATGGTTGGTCTTATGGAGGATATTTAAGTCTTATGGGTTTAATACAATATCCAGAAATATTTAAGGTATTTTTTCTTTTTTAAAAATTGAATTGAATTTAATTTAATTATTTGTATCTAAACATATTTTTATTTATAAATTTAAATTACTTATTTAATAACAAATTTCAATTGATATTTTTTTATTTCAACTTTTGTGTTTGTTTTAATCTTTAAAATCAATCATCTAAAAATAACATAATATATTAATATTCTATTATATTTATGTACAAAAATAATAAATCGAAATATAATTTTCAGTTAGCTATTGCTGGTGCACCAGTTACTTCTTGGAATTTTTATGATACTGGATATACTGAACGTTATATGGATTTACCACAAAATAATCCTCATGGATATATGTCTGGTTCAGTTTTGACATATGTGGATAAGTTTCCCGATGAAGAAAATAGATTATTGATTATTCATGGGCTTATAGATGAAAACGTACATTTTTTCCATACAAGTCAATTGATCAATGCTCTTGTAAAATCTGGGAAACCATATCAATTACAAGTTTACCCCAATGAAAGACACAGTCTCAGAAGTCTAGATGCTAGTAAACATTATGAAACTACATTATTGTCATTCTTACAAAATCATTTATAAATTATTTTTATTCAAGAAAATAATTCCAGTAATAAGTGCTGGTTAAAATATTTTAACAATTTAAGTGACTGCCATTACTTTTATGTATATAGATTAAACAAATTAAAAATTAATTTCAATATCCTTATATTCGCGATGGTATTGCCTTATGTAAATTTTATGTTCGTATAAAGACTCCATTAAACAGTATTATAATTTTACTACGAGAAGGTTATAATAAAAAATAATTAAAAATTTTACGCATCTATAAAAAATAGTATTTTTTTCTGTTTATAGAAATACAAAAAAAAGTTTGTAAAAATTAATATCTATAACATTTGGGCATATAACCATCGCGAAATTTTTTTTTGCAACTTCTTTAATAAGTGATTATAGAATTTTAAAAAACGATTAAAATTGTAAAATTTATTTTTACTTTTTCAAGAAAATGGACAATACTCGCAATTCTCTGTACATATATACATAAGGATCGTTAGATCTATATTAATTTTTCTAGAATTTTCTTCTAATTGTACTTACATGATATTCATAGTTATCGCCAGAAATATGTCTATCTCGTGACTATCACCATTTTATGCTTAATTGTATATATATAAACAAAAACTCTCTCCCAGATTTTTACAATAAGCATTGCAAGAATTTGAGCGAGAAGAGTACATTATTCCGTATTTGCAAATAAATCATATATAACATAAATTGTTTGTCAATAAATAAATTCGTTATTTTATATTTTGTTACAATGTGTATCATTATTATCCAAGGATTTTAATGTTATTAAATAAATAAGAATAGAATACTTGTTTTGTTACAATTATATTTTGTTACAAATCATTTACATATACATTATTGTGAACTACTGTAAGTTTTAGTTTTTCTATTTAAGAATTTATACAAATACTTTAGTCTTTTTTTCAATTCTTTCCATTTAGTTGGTCTTGCTATTGGATATATACCATGTTTTAGCATTTTCTGTTTTCTAAGTAATACTTGATATTCATTTCCACTTACACCTCTTAGCCAAGAAGGTACATTATATAAAATTTTAACTGGATGGAGAGTATTAGAACCCAAAATATCTATATAATCATTCTGACCAAACAATGCTCTCTTTTCAGACCAAGCATTCTTTGGTCTATATATTGGCATGGGTAATTTTCTATTATCAGCACGAGGTAACAATCCTTTCATATCTATAGGATCATTATAGCCATAATGTCTTAAGTAAGGACCCTTAGCTATTTTGTCTGCATGATATCGAAATCTTTTAGATATCACTTGAGGTACCCATGTATTCATAGTTGTTTGCATTGTTTTCAAAAACCATGACATGCTAAATTTTTATAATTAATCTTATTAATATATGATAAATGTATCTTTTTTTCAAAATATTATTTCATATGTATATATATAATTTGTAATAATTAAATTTTTGTATTGAAATTTATATTATTTAAATTACAAAAATAAATGTAATATTAAATTCTTTCAATAAATATTTTTCTTATAAATAAAACTAAATTTTCTAATTATTTATATTATATATTACGAATAGCTAACATAACCTTATTTTCTACATGTTAAATATAATTTTATAAATTTTATATTTTTCATACAATAAAATTTACCTTAAACAATATATAAATTGTACGGATGTAAAGTAATATTATTTTAATTTGTTATATGAAATTTTTATCGTATAATAAATTACAGTTTATATTACTTTGTTTTCTATAACCTCAGCAAACTTATGATGAGAATTGAACTTAAATATATAATATTTACTTATATAGTATTATATATATCTAGTATTATAAGAATGTTATAAGAATATATTTAATTAATAATTTATTGCAATTTTAAATAAAAATAAAATATCTAATATTTATGATAAATTATTACGCGTTAAAAAATAAAAGAAAAAACTATATTATTGTACTATTTTCATTCGTTTAATTAATCATTTTGAGATTAATTTAAAAATTGAAATATAAAATATATTGATATTAATTTTTAATTATTTTATTATTATTTAATTATTACATAAGATATATATATAACATTAAAATTTAAATAATAATGAATAAAAAACAAATTAAAGCAAAGAAAAATTAATTGTGCTCTAAAATTTATGGAACTATAAAAAAAATATTATTTGATCGAACAATTAATATTATATTAATAAATATGTAAGAATAATTAGAAATAAATTTGTCGGGAAATAAATAAAAGATTAAAATTAAATAAATCATAAATTGTACATATTATGCATATAAATTATATATAAATTTGTATTATGCACCGTGTATGATAAATTAATTGAATCGTATATATTCATAATATTCATTTACATAATATCATTTATAAATTTTTATATATATTTATACATATAAACTATGTATGTAATGCATATGTATATATGCATATAAACTAAATATTTTCACGCTTTAATGATCCATATTTTATCGCTTTACTATTTGTAAAATTGAAAATTATTTTTTTCTATAGAAATAAAAATTGTTTATTTTAATTCAATACTTTTAATTTTAAACTTCACATATAATTGTTAATGTTAAAAATATGCAATAATTTAATTTGTTAAACCAAAAAATTCTAATTAAAAAATTAATAAGATTTATTGACAAAAAAATAAAATTTATTTGATAATTTATATTAAAAGTAGTATAGGTATTACAAGAATTCCAAGAACAGTAATGAATTTAGAACCTAAAAAAAAGAAAAAAGAAATTATCGAAGAAATTCATTGATTTATATTGCAATATACAATTAATTCTTATTAACCTTTGCTACAAGTCCCTTCTTTGCAAACACATTCATTCTTTTTACATTCAAGAATACTAAAAGTATCATATCCCTTACATTCGTAATCCTTCGTACATGTATGATATAAGTCTGAAAAAAATATGCGACAATTTGTTGAGTTTTTAATACATTTGTAGATTATTCGAAATTGAAAACTGCATTTATTAATTATCCTTACATCGTGTTTGAACACATTTCCCAGTTTCATTCACAAAATGATATGATGAAATGCATTCGCAACGTTCATTAATGCACATGGCACGACCAAACATATCTTGACATTCATCAGTCCTTTGACAGCGATCACCCACCATCAATGGTCCTAAAACATTCATATAAATAAAACCAATACTTGTACATATATATTTATAAATATATTAATAATAATAAATAAATTAATAAAAAATGTAAGATATTTTTTAAGCATATTGATTACTTACTATTGACACAATTTGAAGAATTATTTATATCTAAGATATACGAATCTTTGCAAGCACATACTCCTTGTCTACACGCTGCATTTGCCATCGTACTACATGCAAAATCATTTGCGCAACTTAATCCAGCACCTATCATTCCAAATCAAAAAATAAATTTAATTATTAAAATAATATATATACATATATGTAGTAATATTACATTACTACATATATATGTAATAATTTATTATTAATTGTAATAATTGTAATAATTTATCAACTAATAATAATTTATATTAATAAAAAACTATTGCAAAAAAATAAACAAAGTTAATAAACAAATTATACACAATAAGCATAAGTATAACAATGTTTTCTTTGTGTCATAAAATAATGTTTATTATTATTTGATAATAGATAGAATTAAATAAAAATAATAAAAAAAAAATATTAATATTAGTAAATTGTAAATTATAAGTTATAGATTTATCTTAATTTTATAATTTACTTATAAAGCTTCACTTTTTTTATTAACAATGATTTTATTGTTATATATTGTTAGATAAGAGAATTCATTTATGATGTATTTATGATGTATAAAATTTCTTTAATTTGACAAAATAATATTCAATTATGTAAGCATTCCGATTAAAAATGCTTAAATTAATTAATAGCGAAATAATACTCACTAGCGATGCACATCGAGTTATCTAAAGTTGGGGAGAAATATTGTTCGCACAGGCATGTCTTTTGCGCACGGCAATACGAATTTGGAATGCAATTACGATCTCTCTCGCATTTCTCACCGATTTTCACATTTCCGTATTCCAATGTGTCCTCTAAAAACAAGGAAAAAATAAAAAATAAAATATAGAGCAAAAGACGATTCAATTCGATTATACCTCTTATTGATTGATTTTGAATCTATGAACACTCTGAAAAATATCGATGATACTTTGATACTTGCGATACTCACGTTCTAAGCCCAAAAGTAATTGGAAGCTCGCAAAAAGTAAGAAAAATTTAAAAATTTGATCGTTCATTTCTATTATTCGTACTGAATAAGAAACTGTATTATATTAAAAAGCTCGTAATAAACGCCCTTCTTATGGTGATAATCGTTATCTTTTCACTTATCTACGATATATCTATCTAACCGAATGAATCAGAGATAGGAACAAACTAAAAAACTGTTCTTTTTCATCATTTTTATTTCTTTATATTTATTTTATTCTTTATATTTCATTTTTTTCATTTAAAATGAAAGATAGGAAAAATAGAAAAAGATCGCTTACCGATTCAAATGCTGAAGTTACGAGTAGATGCGATCGGAGCGGTGTCGGTAGTAACTGGAAAGAAAATCAGGTTGGTGGGAGAATATGGTTAATTGCAGTTCTACACGGCTTCGCGTTCGTCAGTCGTGTGCTATTGATGCTCGATCGCGAACCGATACTTCTGTTTGCAAGTGAATCTCTATTATACCAGAATTTCAATGATGTTTTATTTCGGGTATATGAAGAAATGTATGTTGCTTCTTGTGATCGTTTCTATGATTCATCGATCAGTAACTGATCAATTAGGTAAGCTTTGATTTTATACTTAAAAATTTTATTTTGAATTTGAAATTCAAATAATTATTGAAATTGAATTAATGAAATATTTAAATTATTTTAACATTTTTCTATATAATATAAATATTCAAATGTATACGTTTACTTTGAATATCTTATTATAATAACATTATTTTATCACTTTATATTATATAAATATGTATAAAGTTATTATCCTTTTTTTTTTAAATATCTTTAAATTGCCAATATTACCTTATAATTAGAATAATATTGATATGCATGTAAACAATATTAACAATTAAAATTATAAATTTTATCTTCGAGTTACATTGGTCCTTAAATTTATTTCTTTTTATATTTAATGTATTATTTTTATTTTTATTTATTTATTTTGAAATGATTAATTTATTTTTAAATTATTTAATTTATCGGCGTAATTAATCTTACAATGATGTACTAGAATCTTTATTATTTATATAAAATTGTTATAAATATAATTTATATAACTTATATATACTTATACATTTTATTTATAAATATATATAAATATTTAAAAATATGCCAATAAATTTTTTAGAATTTTTTTTATAATATTGATATATGAAAGACTCACCAAATTAAAAAATTCTAATCGGAATAATGTATCATTGCATAGTTAAAAACATGAAATGATTAATTTTTATGATCTAAATATATTTCATTTAAAAATAACATTTTAACTGAAATTTATTTGCACGTTCATAACTGTCAATGTAACTTTAATCTGTATTAATGTTATTCAACACTGTAATGTTCTTCCATCGAACAAATTATTCGTTGACAATGTACCTCATAATTAATTTGCAATTAATTCGTACAGTAATAATTATATTATTACCAGTATTGTATAAATAAAATACGTTATATTCTTGAATTCTTCTGTGATTACGCGCATTATTTTATGCATGTTATAATGCTCACTTTTGCAGTGAATCAAGCAGTAATCATGAACATTATGAGAGATACGCGAGACACAATGCTCTTGAAATATAATTAAACAAGCATCAACTGATGAAAATTAATTTAAGATTCGTATCCTTCTATTCGGCATGATTCTTGCAAAGTACATGCAACATTTTAAATATCATTTTAAAGATTTTATTTTGTATAATATATTTTTATCCGTATTAGTTATTTTTAAAACATTACATCAATGAAAAAACTTCGAGAAACTGAAAGTCCAGTAAAATTTAATAAATTGATTTAACGTCACTTCGTTCGAAGTAACCGACATGTCAATATAACACTATTGCTTCAGAAGAAATAGTATATACATTTCTGTTCTCATTGCTTGTATACAAACGTTGGTAGGCTACGCTTCAAAATAAAATCGACCTCTTCACGGTATTGAAGCAGTGTCAATCGAATGATAATTCTTAAAAATGTTCATTGCAAAAGCGAATTTTATTATAATCTCAATTTATTAATATAATTAAGAATATTTTTTTTTGTATTTTAGCCTTATTATATTTTCTAATTATTTTAATTTTTTTTAATAAATAAAAAATTTTTAATTAATATATAATGATATATTAATTATAATTGTTTAATGTTATTTTCAATGGAAAGTCATAATTGTGTTGACTTAAATATAACATAAATATAATATAATAAATAAATATAATATAATTAAATATAATATAAGGATTAGAAAATACAAAAGAAAATAAAATTAAACATTGTTCTATATTTCATTTGAATTTTTATGTGAAATTCTATACATTTATTTGTTAAGATATACTTTAATAATAATAATATTTAATAATAAAACTTTAATAATATTTTATTCGTTTAATCGACATCGAAAACTGAACAATTTTCTAATTACAATTATATGATTAATTTAACTTTTTTATCATAATGAATATGATATTATTTGATATTATTTCATAATGAATATGATTTATATTGATCAACATATACATATTGTTTATTAAATTCGAATTTACAATCAGATTTTATGTAATTGATTTTATTATTTAATATTTATTTATTAAGTAATTATTAAATAATTATATTTTCGTCAATAGTAATATAGATACAACATAGGATAAATTTAATTTATATTTAATGTATTATATTATTAATGTATTATATTTGAATGAAATGTATTATATAGTTAAATAATATATTTCAAGAAATCAATGTTATGCTTCGAGATAATTTGATATATTTTAGATAAACTTAAATAACAATACAGCATGTTATATTTATAACCACTCATGAGAATGAATCGCATGATGATGGTCACACGATATAGGAATTCAAAACTAAAATCGATAATAAGATTACTCCATGTAGCTTTCGAAGATTTGCGAAGCTTTTTTTTCTTTTGGATGATAAAACTGATGATTGATTTTATTAAAAAAAAGATTTTTAAAGTTGCGAGTTTGTTAAAAGTTTTCAGATTTTCATCCTTATTTTAATAATATTTAAACGAGTAAACAAATTATTAGAAAATAATCATTTTTTTATAATTATATTATTATAATTATATTATAATTATATTATATTATATTTTTTTATAAGTATGGGATTATATTATACAAATTAATGATAAATATTAAATTGTATAATTAAAATAAATTTATTATATAGTTTAATTCAATATGAATAGAAATATAATATTATACGATAAAAATTAAACAACATTTTATTAATATTATCGAAAATTAATATTATCGAAGTTCAAAGAAACTAAAAACAATTTTTTTCTTACAGATCCACCAATCCCTTGTAAAGAAGATCATAATTGCATCGAATTTTCAAATAGCTTAAAAAATGCATTTTGTCATAATGGACATTGCGTATGTAAAACGGATAAAGAAATTAAAAACTGTTCCAGTGCGGATATCTTACATAANNNAATCGAAGCGCAGGTACAATTATATTTTCTTTTTTTCTTTTTTCTTTTTTTTTTTTTTTAATATATATTGAATATTTGTATGTAATTAAATATATTGAATTCATATGATTGCATTAGATGTAAAAGAAATTTCAATGCTAAAATTAACAAGAGAAGAATGTATTCAAATGTTATTTAATTTTAAATAGATAAATTTTTTTTAATACTTGACGTAATTTTTTAATATTTTTCTGTTATACTTATTTTATTTTTTTATATTTATATAAAAAATTTAGAGGAAAATATATAAATCATTTATAAAAAAAAAAAATGATGGAAGTTTCTGAAATTCCTTAATAAAAATAATTATTTATTTCACATTTGATAAATTATTTTTTGGTATAAATAAACAAATAATAAAATAAATTTTGAATATGTTTAATTTTCTATAGTGTTTAAAAAATATAAATATATAAAATATTAAATTATATTTATAATATTTATATTATATTAAGAGTTTCTTCAAATTTGTTCAATAAATTTTGTTATATATTTGAAATATTCAAAAAGTATATTTACAGTTATTACAATAATAATTTTCATGAAGTTTTTAATTATTTATAGATATGAATAATAAAAATATATTATCCTGCTTTGACATATATATGAAAGTAGTATGAAACTATATCATTTCATTGAATGATCCATTATTTCAAAAAAATAATTATGAATTTAAGATATTATATGTAAATATTTAATAAATTGATATTCATTCTTGAAAAAATTATATTTATGACTTTGTATTTTATATATATATATATATATATATATATATTATATATTATATACAAAATTATATACTAGTTATTAATATTTATTACATATAATATTTCAATCTAATAATTAAATATTTCTCTTAGTTTCAATATTTTTCATATTGAAGTTTCAAAATTTATTAAAATTTAACATATAGTAATATAATTTCGACAGTTCTGAAATTGTCCTTCTATTCAATGTATTTACACATTAGATGAATTTCCTAGAATACTAATACATTTTTTTTAGGAGCTCCGATTTTTCAGATTTGCAAAATCGATAAAGATTGTACAATTAATAACTCTTTTTGCAACACGACGATAATGCAATGCGAATGTCAAAAAAATTATATTTTATCAAGTAACAAGAAAGTATGCCTTAAAAGTAAGAATAAATTTCATTCATCGATATGATTTTAATTTTGATATTGAATCTTCGATCATTGATTTATTTTTTCATTTAGAGGTCGAAGGATTGGATTTTCCTTGTATAGAGAGTAGACAATGTTTAACATTCCTACCAAATACGACATGTCAAAATAACCAATGTAGTTGTATATCTGGATATCATTATGTGCAAAATGCTTGTTACGAAATGATTGGTAAGACAAAACTCTTTTTTCGAGAAAATATTAATTAAAAATTAGATTAAAAATAATTATATAATCTACGTAATTGCAAAATATTCATAGATATTGGAAAACCATGTCGCCAATCGGAAGAATGTATTCACGTTAACGGTGCTGCATGCACTAATAGAGGAGTGTGTGATTGTATAAAAGAAACTGTGATCAATGAAAATCGACAAAAATGTTTACCGGTTGCGAGGGATATCTTGGATATTTGCGTGGAAGATATACAATGCAGTAAAACTTTCTCTGATTCACTATGCATTGATGGATTGTGTCGATGTCAAAATCAATATCACTTTGAATCCGAAATAAAGCAATGTTATTTCAATAAAAGTAAGTATTCAATTTTTCGAACTTTACTTTTTCCTTTGTTACATATATACTTGATAGATGGCGTTGTTTTACAGAACTTGGTGAAACTTGCGCGAATACGTACGAATGTTACCAAAATGAAGAAAATGAGAATGTGACACGTAAAGCAGTAAAGTGCATGGAAAATGTGTGTGTATGTATTGAAGATTATGTGAGACAGGACAATAAATGTGTAAACGAAGGTAAATTGAAATAAATATATCTGTTTTATCATTCTATATTTTAGTAATATTCTATATTTTTATTATGTTCACATTTTCTAGGAACACGGTTTGATATTCTACCTATTTTGCTCATAATGATCGTATCTATCGTATTATTTAGACAAAACTAGACGAAACGTTGAATTTTGGTCGGTAAAGGTACATATATGCGAGCAGTTTTGATCTACATCTTCTCGATGACATAATTGAAACACGACGCGAGATTCAGCACAGAAAGTGAAAAAAGTAGGAGAGCAGTGTGGCATTGGATGACACTATGACTACATAGAATTGCGCACCGAGTGCATCGAGAGAGTAGGTTGGGTGCACCGAACCGTTTAAAGACTTCCTGCGCTGTGCATGCAATTAACACGCTCAGACTGCGCTACTGCGCGATTCATTCTCGCGACCGCTTCTATACTTATCTTGCAAACTGTGCCAAAGAAACAGATATGTTTGTTAACGAATACCAATCGAATAATCATTCTATATTTTATCATTTGCGTTGATATGATTACAAAAAAAATGATCTTTTAGGAGCTAAATCTAATTAATTTATAAAAAATTAAACATTAAATGTTTACTTTTGCAAAGTTTGAAATTAATTACTTTAGCTTCTGAGTGATTCGTTAATGTGAAGTGAAATGTCGTTTAATATTTATATAAATGCATGTGTCAACAATATATTGTGATCTTTTGGAATCTCATTACAGTCAGCTTGAATTTTTTTATAGGATAAAGCAACAGTATTTTATTTTTTTTTATACGACTATTTATAAATATTTCTTGATAGATGAATATCTAGAAATTAAACGTTTAATTTTATTTAAATTAAAGACAGCATTTTATGAACCTATAGTCTGTTATTTTATAGGAAATAGGTAAAAAATACTTTATTTTTTTAGAAATAAGCGAATATATAAGTACTTAATCGTTGATATATATTCGGTTCATTTTGTATTTTCTATCTTTGATATTATTGTGTATTTAAAATAAGAAATTACATTATTTTATTATTATTATTATTATTAATGTTTTTTTTAAATAAATTAAATATATATTAATTTAAGTAAAAATTGTATTTTGTTAGATATTATCGAACAAATATAATAAGTAAAATAATAAATTTTATCTAATTTGCATTTTTAAGTAAAAATTTTGATATAATTAAATTATGATAAAATTATAATAAAATAAAGTCAATAAATCTTTTTAATAATGAGGTGTTTTTGCGTAATATAATTATATAAATTTTGTAAATTAAAGATTTTAGATTAATTAATAATATTTAAAATAAAAAAAAAAAATTTAATTTTAATATACATTAATAAATAAAATTATATTAATAATTAATATAATGTCAAAAATTGAACTTTAAAATTTATGATTTTAGTTAATATTATACAATATATATTTTATAAAAAAAATTTATATTTAATGAATAAAAATTAAAAATTAAAAAATTTTTTTCCAAAAGAAAACAAAAATTGATAAGATTTTCGTTTATTATAAATTGTGAAAAAAATTTATTATAAATTCATTGATTGAATTAAATTATGCTATTGCATTGTTCAGTCAGTCTATATATTTAAAAGTTTCAGACACTGAATCATCGATGATCATTCAAGTATTTTCGTCGTCGTTATATTAATCAGGAATATAAAGTTTCTGATGACACATGTTTATACGCTGTAGTGTATTATTATCGTGTTGCGATTTCAGTGCCGATGAGCGATTAGAAGATGACTCGTTCTCGTGCGCTGCATTCACAGGAAACTTATCAACACGTACCGATTAGATAAAGCCAGACGTGGAACATAAGAGAACAATCTTTGTTAGACTGGATGAGACAATATTGAGAATCATCTTTGTGAGTTTCGAAGAAGCAATTTGAAAAAAGAACGAAAGAAAATAAGGAAGAACGTGTGAAAAAGCAACGAACTCGTGTTGAACGAGGAAGATGGCGGACTTAGTAAATCGTCTCACGATGGGAGGTCTTGCGCTGTTGATCGCTTTCTGCTTCGTTGTACGAAGTGCAGTCGTCATCGCGCACGGACAGCATGAACATCTATTACATAGACGTGAGTGTTTACTGGCAGTTTCTTCGTTATCTTGTGAAAAATCGTGATATTTTTGGTTTCAATTACACTACAATGTGATCGATTATTATTTTTAAATATGTGATAAATTTTCTAAAATATTATTTGTAAAAAAACTGTTTACACTTTGTATTTCAAGTTCAAAAGCAATTTGAATTTGAAATTTAAATTCAAAAATTTATTATATTTCAAGTGTTTAAGAAAATGTGATGATGATTCTTCAATAATTTATATCAATAAAAGTTTCAGGTATAATTTGATATAATTATAAATAACAATTTTGATTTTTTATTAAATCACATTGGCGTCAATGATTAATATTAACTTAACTTAACGTAACTTATGTGCCGATGTGTCATAGTTTACGAATCAACGATCGTTTTAAATGAAAATTGAAAAAAAATCTGTTAGTGTTTGATCTTGTCCTTTTTCCGATAAAATCTTCCAGTACAAGTGAATTTATGATTCTCGTGTAGTTTCGTTCCTTCATGATCGAGTGATCCTTTCTTCGGTTTCGTGGGGAAATACGAAGAGGCCGGATCTACGCTGTTGGTTCTCTTCACAGTGAACCGAATGTTGGCTTGGAATCGTACATAATTAAAGAACAAGGGAAATCGTTTCCTTCCAACGTTTGATATTTCGATTTAATGCTCTGTTTTCTAAACTAGATTGCGTCTTAAACAAAGCTTATCACTGCCTGAAACCTTATTATGAAATCATACCAAACATGGAAACAATGTTAACACTTTATCCTCTAAAACATGATAAAATGCTGTTTAATTCTCTATTCAAAGAATGATTTTTACTTAAAATCTCTTTTTTTAAATTCTGTGCTTTTGTCAACATATAAATTTTAACTATTTTTTAGAATTTTTTTCTTTTAATCTTATAACATAAATGACCGTAATTTATACAACTAATCAAATTATCCTAA